TCAGCTCTGCGAGTAGTGACCCGGATGCCTCCTCTGCTGTACATCATACTAGTAGCCAGGAGCACATTGAACAGGCCTCATGTGACACAGACTCGTTCCCATCCACACTTGTGGATGATCCCTGAACCGCCCTCGGCCTTTGACTGCACTTAATTACATGCCTTTGTTTTGCCGTCACCGTCAGGACCAGGCTGCCACACGTGCTTTCGGGTTCTGGCTTCGCTTTCACAAGGGTTTTTGCCTTTAATTCAGGGTTTGATCTGCATTCAATTGGGAATTGGGAATTTGGAATTGGAAATTTGGAATTGGGAATTCGGACTTTGCTTTTCTGACTTTCGGATTGCTTGTTGCCTGCACTTTGCATGGGCTCGGGGCTTCTGGGATATTTCAACAATGTCGCAGTTTGTGCGCCAGACAGAAGAGGAGTGAATGAGAGAGACGCCTTGCACATGGGTGATGTTTGCCCGGTGGTACATGACGTGGGTGATGTGTGCCCTAATGGTGTCCGACCGTATTCTTCGTTGTTCGTGCGTCACCTCACTCCGGAAAACCGCAAAAAACACATAAAAAATCGTCCCGCCCACTGACCAACGCCATTCAGAACACCTGCAGCACACCCACTCCGACCGTCGTCACCACACATGCTTACATGCCCGGCTTGCCTTGCGTCACTGCTTCAGGGCCCTATGAACTATGGCGTTCCATAGACCACTTGTTTGCTATGCATTTGGGTTTCTTTGGACACTTTAACTTTGTTTTGGAGACACGTCGGCGTCGACCGTCGATCCTGCCGCCATGGTTCCCTCCTGAACTGCTGTGACGTTGTCTGTGCAAGATCTCTGAGAAGCCGCAATGCTGACATTGACACTAGTTGTCTGTTCAGGTCAATGCGAGCGATTCTGGATGAGAAGACTCTGCGCACTTCTGAAGCGACAGGTGCCACCGACGCACTTATTTCACAGGAGTGGACTCCTTCCCTCTCCTCTCTGATGTCACGGCTACTGCTGAATCTGGTATATACGCGGATCTACCACTCTGTGGCTGGACACAGACTCCAGGAGGTTGTCTTTCGGTACGCCTTTCATCCCCTGGCATGCTGCTGTCTGAAACAGCGTGTTTTTCTTCAACAGAACATATCCGACTTGGCTGCTCTGTCTATGAATATGTCCACAGTGGTCCTGCTCTGTGGATCTATTCATTGACTTAGCGCTGGTATGCCGACTGTGGCCAGTCTGCCACTCTTGCAGCTGGCCCACAACTGTGCAACATCGTTGCATGTGAAAACTTCTTGAATGCAAGCTGCCTGCCAACAGCCTTTCAGGTTGAAGCGTTAATTGGGTGCAAGCTCTAATTGGATGCAATGGTTGCCATGTCCGGAGGAACCTTTGGGTCAGTGATGCGAGTGACAGGTGCTTGAACTGTGCGGAGATGTTAATTGAGTGCAGACTGTTCTCTGGAGTGTTGCTGCTGGGATGAAGCTGGGAAGACATGGCATTTTGCCAACACCAGTGACCTCTGTGCACCCTGAGTCTTGCGATACCTGAACCGTGCTATCCCTTGATCTTTGACCTTTCCGCATAGTGGCAAAGGTCGACTTTTGACTTGACGACGGGAACAGCTAGTCTTTCTGGTCGTGGAGTTCAGCATATGTACAATTAGCCTTGTTTTGAAAACCGAAACATCTGGCTGTAGTCAACTGTTCAACCAAGACACCCTGCAATGCGGGCTTCGTCCTTGCTAGGTAGGAGGGAAAAAAAACCACCTTAAAGCAGAGGGGGAAAGAGGTCTTCTTCGTCGACGCCACCGCTCCCGAAGCCGCGGTGATTACAAACTACCTCCTGACTGGGCGGGGGAGTACAACACCGTCACGGTCGTGACTGTGGCAAGGACGGGGAGATAGTGACGTGTGCCTACGACCACCGGAGCCATGAGCCGTCATGGGGGAAGGGGGGAGGAAGATGTGCAAACTCCCATCTGCCGCTTGTGCCGCTTTGCGCATGGCGTGTGCACCGCAGGGTACAGAAAGACCCATGAAAGACGAGACCCACAATGCCGACTGCACTTGGTCACGGAACGGGGGACGCGCCACGCTATCCCCCAGACCGTGCCCTTGCCAAGCGCTCCGACAACAAGGCCAGCTGAGGGGACAGATGGAGGAGAAGCCGCGACTACGCTTTTCAGAACCAGAAAAGGACTGCACCTCAACTTCCCGGCGGGGGAACTCGACGACTGGATCCACAGCGAAGTCACCGAGAACATGGACGGCACCCTCACGAACCTTAAGACGGGGGAAGCACTGACAGAACAAGAAGCAGCCGACTACAGACGATACCAAGAGCGCCTGAACCAAAGGCGGAAACTTGGGGGGAAGGCCGATCGGCTCGCTACGATCGCCGACCGCTACCTTCCGGAGGTCTCCCAAGAGACGCGGGTGTATGCAATGAAACACCCAGACCGTGTACCTGACCTGCTGAAGCGTGCGAGAAAGATCAGGCGCCGCATAAGGGCAAGAAGGCAGGGGGATGCAGACGCCAGACCGGCAAGCAGAACGACTACTACCACGACACACCAGAGGACGGCGCAGGGGGATGTTTCCAAGAGCGTGCGAAAAAAGGCCAGCAAGTCAGCTGGGGGAGGAATGGCCAGCCACTACAGCAGCGATGCCAACCACGAGGGCCCAGCCAAGTCAAGACGATGATCGTGGAGACACAGAGCGCCCACCAGACTGGGGGGATAGCAACCCCAGAACACCTCGTGACGACCAAGTGGAGGGGGAAAGCCAACCACAAGCCTCAGCCAACGAAGAGAGAGACGCAGACTGGCCATGGGGGCCACATGGAAGGCCTTCAGACACGGGCCAAAGTCGGGGGATGCTTGCCGCTCGACCCGCTGAACCCGACGAGAAAGTCCAGCTGACGCCCAACAGCCGCTGGAGAGCAGTGCAACGTGTACAAGAACACATGCAACGCTGCGGGGGACAGCCAAGCGAGACCGAGTCACGAAGCAGTTGGAGGGAGTGACGCCAAGGAGCCGCAGTGAGCAAAGTGAGCGCGGAAAAAGTTTTTCAAAGTTTCAGTGCGAGGGGGAGAGAGGGGTGAAGTGCCTTGTTGAGCTCCTCTTTCTTCCTTGACCTTTTTCCACAGTGCCAGAGGGGAGAGGAGAGCCGCTTGTTTTGCGGGGTGTTGTGCTTTGTTTCCGGCCCTCCTCTTTCCCTAATGTGCCCTGCTGCGAGCCCCGCCCCACTTAGTGGGGGATCCTTTTGCAACCAGCCCTGCCGGGGGAATGCACTTGCTTTGTACCATACGCGTTACATACCACATTCTTTCAACCACTTTTGCCAACATGGCAATGTCGTTCCGTCCCTTTACAATTCGCTGCAATCCGTCACCTATGTGACGAAGTCTGATCCGCCTCTATGCCAAAATTCAATGCTCCCTCCGCTTCAAGCTGGGGGAGCTACAATTCGACCGGCACTGTTCAGGCCCCCCGAACCAGATCACAACTAAGGATAGTGCCGTAGGGGCGCGGTGATGAGGCGGGGGTTGTGTTGTGTTTAGAGTTCGGGGGGTTTCCTGTTTACATCTCGGGGCCTACTTTGTTTTTCGTTGCCTAATCTGGAAAGACCCCATTGCCAGCCACTCCATAAACACAGGGTGTGGCTGGGCGGGCCGAAGGCCTGGGGGCGCTTGCGCGACCGTTAAGCCCTGCAGAAAGAAAGAAAGAGAGAGAGAGAGAGAGACAGAGAGATCGGGGTGATTGAATGAACACGAGCTGAGGGCGGAGGATGAGGAAGAGGATGGCAACGGGAGACGGAATTCTCCCAAAGACCAGGAGGTCGAGGCTTCACTTGCGACGACACCCGCAGCTTGACTCAGACATCATTGCCTGGCGCTTGAAGGAGATGGACAGCCAAGCGTTGGATCAAGAGGCAGAGGCTGCCGAGCCTGCTGGAGGGGAAGAGGCGCGTCTTCGCAAGGGGCCCGATGACGTGCGGAGCATTCTTCCCTGGAATCGACTGGGTTGTGCAGGAAGCAGCAAGTAAGTCCAGAAGGCGCAGGCGCAAAAAGTCTCTTGGCATACAGACGCGAATACTTACAGAAGTCTTGCAAGCCTACGTTGGCGGAAAGATTTAGCGTATTCTTGTGGAAAAGCTGTACTTAGGGCTTCTAGCAGGAGCTACTAAACAGGAGAGAACAGGGGCCCAGCTTGGTTCCAGTCTTTCTCTTAGTCCTGCTTGCAATTGCTTCTATCTTGATCAGAGTCTTGACTTTGGACTTGCGATGCAGCTGTTGTACGGCAGTTGCTGCAGGAGCCGTGCCTCACAGCAACGAGAGAATCGGGGTGATTGAGTGAACGCGAGCTGAGGGTGGAGGATGAGGAAGAGGATGGCAAAGAGAGACGAAATTCTCCCAAAGACCAGGAGGTCGAGGCTTCACTTGCGAAGACGCTTGCAGCTTGTCTGAATCCACCATTGCCTGATGCCTTCAGGACTTGAAGGAGATGGACAGCCAGGCGTTGGAGCAAGAGGCAGAGGCTGCCGAGCCTGCTGGAGGGGAGGAGGCGTGTCTTCGTAAACCGGGGCCCGATGACGTGCGGAACATTCTTCCCTGGAATCGACTGGGTTGTGCAGGAAGCAGCGGGTAAGTCCAGAAGGCGCAGGCGCAAAAAGTCTCTTGGCATACAGATGCGAATGCTTACAGTCTTACAGAAGTGATGAAGACCTGTCACAATGCAGGCCTTTCAGCAGGTAAAATCTTGCAAGCCTACGTTGGCCGAAAGATTTGGCGTATTCTTGTGGAAAAGCTGTACTTCCTATGAAACTGGCCTAGCTTCGTTGCAGTCTTTCCCTTAGTCCTGCTGGCCAATGCTTCTGTCTACAGTTGGAGTGATGAAAGTCTCTAAGTCAATGACTTCAATGCAGCTGTTGTACTGCAGTTGCTGTAGGAGCAGTGCCTCAAAGCAGAGAGAGAATCGGGGTGATTGAATGAACACGAGCTGAGGGCGGAGGATGAGGAAGAGGATGGCAAAGGGCGACGAAATTCTCCCAAAGACCAGGCGGTCGAGGCTTCACGGACGGCGCCCACAGTGCCACAGCTTGACTCAGACATCATTGCCTGGCGCTTGAAGGAGATGGACAGCCAAGCATGGGAGCAAGAGGCAGAGGCTGCCGAGCCTGCTGGAGGGGAGGAGGCGTGTCTTCGCAAGGGGCCCCATGACGTGTGGAACATTCTTCCCTGGAATCAACTGGGCTGTGCAGGAAGCAGCGGGCAAGTCCAGAAGGCGCAGGCGCAAAAAGTCTCTTGGCATACAGACGCGAATGCTTACAGAAGTCTTGCAAGTCTACGTTGGCAGAAAGATTTGGCGTATTCTTGTGGAAAAGCTGTACTTAGGGCTTCTAGCGGGAGCTACTAAACAGGAGAGAACAGGGGCCCAGCTTGGTTCCAGTCTTTCCCGTAGTCCTGCTTGCAATCGCTTCTGTCTACTGCTGGAGCCATCAGAGTCTTGACTTTGCACTTGCGATGCAGCTGTTGTACTGCAGTTGCTGTGGGAGCCGTGCCTCCAAGCAGAAAGTGATCGAATGAACACGAGCTGAGGGCGGAGGATGAGGAAGAGGATGGCAAAGGGCGACGGAATTCTCCCAAAGACCAGGAGGTCGAGGCTTCACTTGCGTCGGACGACACCCACAGTGTCAAAGCTTGACTCAGACATCATTGCCTGGGGCTTGAAGGAGATGGACAGCCAAGCGTTGGATCAAGAGGCAGAGGCTGCCGAGCCTGCTGGAGGGGAGGAGGCGTGTCTTCGTAAAACGGGGCCCCATGACGTGCGGAGCATTCTTCCCTGGAATCAACTGGGCTGTGCAGGAAGCAGCGGGCAAGTCCAGAAGGCGCAGGCGCAAAAAGTCTCTTGGCATGCAGACGCGAATGCTTACAGAAGTCTTGCAAGTCTACGTTGGCAGAAAGATTTGGCGTATTTTTGTGGAAAAGCTGTACTTAGGGCTTCTAGCGGGAGCTACTAAACAGGAGAGAACAGGGGCCCAGCTTGGTTCCAGTCTTTCCCTTAGTCCTGCTTGCAATTGCTTCTGTCTACTGCTGGAGCCATCAGAGTCTTGACTTTGGACTTGCGATGCAGCTGTTGCTGTGGGAGCCGTGCCTCAAAGCAGAGAGAGAGAGAGAGAGAGAGAGAGAGAGAGAGAGAGAGAGAGAGAGAAATCGGGAAAACGAGCTGAGGGCGGAGGATGAGGAAGAGGATGGCAAAGGGCGACGGAATTCTCCCAAAGACCAGGAGGTCGAGGCTTCACTTGCGTCGGACGACACCCACAGTGTCAAAGCTTGACTCAGACATCATTGCCTGGGGCTTGAAGGAGATGGACAGCCAAGCGTTGGATCAAGAGGCAGAGGCTGCCGAGCCTGCTGGAGGGGAGGAGGCGTGTCTTCGTAAAACGGGGCCCCATGACGTGCGGAGCATTCTTCCCTGGAATCAACTGGGCTGTGCAGGAAGCAGCGGGCAAGTCCAGAAGGCGCAGGCGCAAAAAGTCTCTCGGCATGGGCCACATCATTAGAGGCAGCTTTTTTTTTGTGTGTGTGTGTGTGCGCGCAATTCAGGCAACTGTGCCTAAACTAAACTCGAGGTCTCTTCGTGCCCAGGTACCGTAGCGATTGGATCTGCATCCCAACAGCGGCCCACATAATTACAGTTATGATTTATCTCAGAAATTCATTCAAGCAGCCGCTGTGGATGTCTCGCATTTGAAGTATGAGAGCCGGCGACGACAACGCGGCTCCGATTCCCTACTCGTTGGCTGTAGCTGAGGTCAGAGCCTGAGGAGCAACAGGAGGAGCGTCGCAAAGGGCGGCAGGCCGGCAATCAGCGGGAGGGCGAAACCCAGGATGACTGAGTGACTGAGTGTTTCGCTTCATCCTCTGGCATTTCAGGCGGGAGACAGGCGAGTGTCTGCGGAGCACACAGAGGCTGAGACTGCTGAAGAGCAAGCGGAAGGGGAGGAGGCAGCGCTGCATCAAATGTACATCGGTTTCTTCGCCGCAGGGAGAAGCACGAAGCAGGGTCTCTTCGGCTATCGTCTGTAGGCACACCTGCGCAGGAACCAGAGGAGGAAGCTGAGGAGGAGGCCTCAAGAAGACGCCGGCGCCGGCGCAAGAAAGAGCTGAAAGCTCAAGATTCTGTTCTGGCAACATTGGATGAGTTCTAGTTTTTCGCCGCCCAGCTTGTGATGCACATCGAACGACAATGAACCGGGGGTTTGTGCGATTCTCAGTTCACAGTGGCCGTTATGTGTGACCGCTGGACGAGTGCATCAGAAGCTTTGCTTGGGGCCGACATGCAGTCGTAGATTGCAGACGCGCCCGGATAATGGCCATACCGCAAGCACTGCTTGCACGAGTTGCCAGCTGTCATCTGTGAACACAGTGCGGCAGGCAGTTTCAGAGACCCTGTTAATGTTCCACGCGGCCCCGTAAGACTGCATCAAAGATGCCATCGAGCAGTTTGTGAGGACTGCCTGTGGTGAAGCAGCGAGACATTGCAGCGATGCCCCACCATCTTGGCGCACGCCTGCTCCGTTTTGCAATGCATGCGAGAGCGATCTCGAGGTTAGCATCCAGCATCCGGAGCAAAGCTACGCAGTTATGCAGCATCGTTGGCACACCGCAATCCAAACCCTCTGCTGTGGCGTTTGCACAGGGCATGTCCGCGAGCTCGAAAGCACATGCCATGGCTGCGGCGACTGAGAAAGCCGAGCAAGATGAGGAGAGTGAGCCGCAGCTGACAAGGGACTATAGGAAGTCTTCCAATTCGCTAACCTCCATGGCCGCATGCCCGTGCAGCTCAGGATGCGGAGCTTCGCATCAAGCACCTGCGTGAGGATTGTCCTGCTGGTCTCTGTTAAGCTTAGTTGTGAGTGATTGGAAGTGACATGGCTCTACAGGCACTCAGAATCTCACGTTTATTGCATCCTGGTTTGATCTCTGCCTTCGGTGAATTCGAATGATCATCATGCGCATCAGGACGAAGACCTCGTAATTGTGTGCCGGCTGCAGATGTACATCTTGGCTTATGGTTGACCTTCTTTAGAAGCGTCGTGGCATGGGCCTGGGAAGAAGTGGCATCTGATCGTTTGCATGTACAGCTTTCACCGCAGCCGAGGACGGAGAAACAGCTGTGGATGACTTGTCACTGGTATGCAGAGATCTCCATCAGACACGTAGCGTCATATCATATCTCAGTCCCATGTCATGCATGTGAACCTGCTCGAAGTCAGCGTGACAGGTAGGCAGCTAAGCCAAACCTTCGCAGGTCGTCTGACTTGATGTTGTGTCTGATCCCGTGATTGGGCTCGTTTGGCGGCCCGTGGTCAAAGGTTACACAGAAGAAGAGTAGCCTTGAGTAGACATGATCGCAGTCGTCGCAGTCGCGTGGTAGCCTTTGCTCGCTGTGTTGCAACACGCTGCAACTGCAGTGGCAGAAGAACATGTGACGAGATAGGTCCTCGGCTTTGAGCTTTGTTGGATGCCCAAGGCTGGTGGCCCAGAGGGTCGCGCAGCAGGAAGTCTTTGCGGAACAGGTCCTGCAGGATGATGCAGGCAGCCGGGCAGGAGAGAAGGGGGAGCTTCTCGAGGGAACCTCGGAGCTTTGACTGAGCGAACTTAAGCAGACATCTGCAGTGGTTGGAACCGTGCGAATTCCGCTACCGCTACATGCGCGTGACATGGTAGATGCTCTGACCAGGCACTGGGAAACAAGCCCGTCGCAAGGCGCCTTCAGCTGAAGACGTCCAGAGACTTGGTCATCATGGAGTCTGCTCTCATTTACACCAGTGCCACTGCATGATGCACGCTTGCCGGAAGAGCGTTGCAAGGAAGCTCCTGCGGCTTTTGAAAGAGACCAACAAGCCCTCACCTCAAAATCGTGGCTGACTGACTGCGAGGTCAGGTAGTGGCTTGTCTTGAAGCAATGTAGCCTACAGTCATAAGGCTCACCTCCAAAATCGGCGAGCTGCCGAGCGACCTCGATGCAGTTTGCGGTAGTTTTAGAGCTCCGAGACGGCCAGCAAACCATTGCATGCCTGCATGCCAACGCACAGCATTGTATGGCAGCTTTGGCACCAGAGGTCACTTCGATGCCGTCGTCTCGGCCGAGGTGCGGGAGGCGTGCCGCGCGGCTTCCGAGGTGCGGGGCTAGTTCACGAAACAAATAACAGGCCAGTGGCTAAGTGCACTAGGTCTTACGAGTGCTGCGTTGAGGCCGTCACCAAGTTGCCGCTTCCGGAGTCTGACCGTCAGACGGAGCCGCCCCGATGCGCTGTTGGTTCCTCGGCAGGAGAAACGAAGACCTTCGAAGTTTTCTCAGGTTAGGTCAACGCCTGGTCAAAGTGACTCAAACTCCGACGTCTAGCCGCGCCTAGTGCCCTCCCAGACCCCCGGAAAGGATCCAAAAAGTAGATCCCTTAAAGGGGTTTCCTATAAAGTACCCTTAATAGATCTTAGTAGTATAGGGCCCCATATTAGGGTATCCACTTTCTAGATCCTCCCGGGGGTCTGGGCTAGCGTGGCCTAGCAGGGCCCGTTTCCGTCTTTTCGCCAGGCGACGAGGACTGGGGCCCTGGCCAAGAGAAGTCTTCGGAGGCTTTGGCAGCCGTGGACCTCCAGAGCACGGACGAGGAGACTGCTGCGGAGGCGGCTTGGAGTTTTTTTTTCTCAGATCATTTTTGGGACAGACCCATTGAAAGTGAAGCAGCGCTGCTAGGCAGCACCAAGTGCTCCGGCGGTTCCGACTGAGGAAGCACCCCAGGCGTCAGATTGGGAAGTGGGGCGAGGGGACGCGGGGGTGTCACAAGGTAACAGTTCTCTGGGCACTTTGTGGGCAGGTTGGCGAGGTTGCTGAGGCCGAGCAAGAGCAAGGAGTGCAAGATCCAGGGGAGGATTCTTGGCCGCACGGTAAGTTTTGATGTGGTCTCCAGCTGTCGTCTTCTCCATCCGTCTTCCCGATAGGAAGATGACGACGACGTGAATAACAAGGCAATCCCACTTTATGCCTTGGCGTGAGCTGTCCCGTCACACACCGCTGCCACGCTGCATGTTGCATGCACTTGAGTTGCTGTTGCCAGTGCGCAGCGCATCCGGAGCCAGCCACAAAGAATGGCGAGGGCACCGAAGCCGTGGAGGCAGGGGTTTCAGACACTTTGAGCAAAGCTACAGCTGTGGATGCCATCGTAGCTTCGCTGCAAGCTCATATGAAATGCAGCTTGAGTCTAAGTCTCGACACCCAGAACATGAAATGTTTAGGGGTTGGCCGTTTCCGTTTTTAGCCGATCAAGATGCAAGTCGCAGCCTGGTGTTCAGGAACCGACCTTCACCCGCACTGCGCCGGAAGACGAGGAGGGAGCTCCGGTGATCAATGCTCCCCGGCACCGAAAGGTCACCTCATTGCAGCCTGCAGATAGACGCCCACGGAGCAGTAGAAGAGCTGAACCAAGGTATCCCATCTCCCCACGAAGCTTGAGGAAAACGCGTCGAAGGAAGCGATCGGCAAGGTGCGGTCTATCGTGGACGAGCTGATCGTCGTTCAGGGCGATGAAGATGGCAAGGACCTCCGAACTTTCCAAACTGATGCGGAACACCAAGCACTGAACTGCACGACAGGCTTTGGACCTGGGTTCCGTTGTGTGCCTGGCCGACGGACGGGTCCTCGGAGCGGTGGTGGCCAAGCTGAATCTAAGGAATCTAGCGGAAAACTGGATCCACTCTTCCCGCAGCCTGAGCCTTTTGCCCTCCCCCCCCCCCCCCCCCCCCCCAGGGCCTAAATCACTTTGATGTCTGCGATGTGAAAACCGCCCGGGGCTACAGCAGGTGGACGTCTTCGGACCTATCTCCGTGCCGCACTACCTCGTCCTGCCGGCTGACTCCCGCAAGAAGGTCCGCATCCAGAGCCAACATGCTGGGATCGCCACTTTCATCGGCACTCTGAGGACATGCCTGCTGTTGGTGATGCTGTGCTGGCCGCCACCGGCATGGAGGAGAAACGGCGCAGACATGGGCCGGGAGGGGTCCTGGCATTTCACGGACTTTCAGGAGACCTCGTTCCTTTGTGACAGCGCCGATCTCTCAGCGCTGCGGAAGCAGCTCGGGGATGACGGCAGCGACGACGACAGCGGCCGAGCTGCAGATTCGGTCAAGAGCTATATGACGCCAAGAGAAGTCGTGCGTGTCCCTCGGCTGGAGGCGATCTCGTAGATGGTGAGGAGTCGGAGAGTGAAGAGCCGGAGTACAGCTCGCTGGGAGCAGCTGCATTGGAAGCTGCGGTCCGGGGGGGCCCAGGCCAGGGCCTGGGCTGGAGCCTCAGATCCGTGAGATCGAGTTGCAGCGCAGTGCGGTGCGGTTTTTTGCACCTGCTCTTGAAGGTGGGGTGTGGAAGGATCCGGAGGCGAAGCAGCGAGAGGTCGAAGCGACCTCCGCACCTCCCTGGAAAGCAAAAAGCAATCAGGAACGGTGGAATGATTGGAGGGAAGGCAGTGGTGAAGGAGCCAGAGCCAGGGGATTTTCTGTAGTGAGACATGTGATGTTGCCTCTTAGTTTTCCGGTTGAGGAGGTGGCTCTGCTCCATCCAAGCCAGCGTCACGCCGGCCCGAGAGGATGCCGCAATGGAAGCGCTTGTGAGCGTTACCGTCGGTTGCCATGCGCGTCTTTGCATTTGCAGGCCGGCCTCTCGGCAAGACGAAGGTCAGTGGCGAGACACCTCCTGGACCAGCGGGCAGTGGAGGAGAGAATCGCGCGAGGCGGTTTGTAGCCAGAGCTCGCAGTTTTGTCGAATCGTTGTGCTTGCCTGAAGCAATCAGGGTGACTGGTCCGACGATTGGTCCAATGGCCGGTCCAAGGATCGGGCCAAGGACTGGTCCGGGAATTGGAACGACCGATCCGGCGACTGGTCCAACCACGAACGGGCGCCCTGCCTGCACCAAGCTCTAGGTCTCCACTGTAGGTCCTCGACACATCTGGTCGTGACTGCGGCTTGAGAGCTGACAGGAGAGGTCTCAGCGGCGCGCGCCGCGCCGCGAGGGAGGCGAGAGCTTTCCACCGCCACCGCCCGTCCCAGGGCGGCCGGTTGCCACACCTGCACCGCCTGCACCGCCCCCACCTCCCCCACCGCCGCCACCTGCACCGCCTTCATGGGACACGCAGCAGCATTCGGAAGTGTATCTACTGCAGGGCTGGATCTTATGTGGCACCAATTCGCCACCAAGGACGATGGACGGGGCGATCCAGGACGGGGCAGATATGCCCAGGGTGACTTGGATGCAGCACGCAGTGCTTACAACACAGGAGTTAATTGCCTTGTGTGGTCAGGTGACCGCGACTGGCGACCTGCAGACAAGCCACGGCCTTCGAAGAACCCTCGGCTGAGCCGCTCGGATTCACTTCGACTGCCAATATGCCTTGCGCAGAGCTTGGCATAGCATCGGTGAAGTTCATGGATTGCTTGATGAGGTGAGTGATTCACCTGGGCCGATAAAGGAAAAAGGGACGTGCCACCGAGCTGCTGCTTAACATAGCGGGACTTGTGGTGGCAGAGGGCTTGCACTCACAATTCGTTGACTGTAGTCGCGTGCCATGTCACTTATGTCGGCCCAATGCCCCCCCCAGGTTCGAAATAGGTCTCGCAGAAACTCACCTTTCGGAAGTCAGTCTGTATGTGTCTGATGCCGCCCTCCCGACTGAACTCGAATTTAAGGGGTTTCCTGCAGCTGCGACTGACCGCCAGGATGCTCAGCATCCGTGCACGACTGGCAACTGATTGATGAGCTCAACAAGACCACTTCTTTCATGCTGATCATGACCGGCAGGATACCAACCATGCCAGCACAAATCCAACCAAAGAAGCCTGCGCGACCCATGCCTGTCCCCGCTGTGGCCAAAGATGCGAGAAAACAAGATAACAAAGCCGGCCTCCTAGACGGACTGCTTTCTAGCTACGCCTTTTGCCGCGTCGCGACTGCTCAGTGGAAGAGTACCCGCCATGACAAACAAGCAGCCCTGACAAGCAGCCGAGGCGAAGCATACACACACTGACAAACACGCACACCAACACACACCAAGGTGTAGCAACAGAGTCAGACCTACCTCTACCCAGCCCATACGCCAGCTGAGATCACGGTAGGTGGTCTAGACGCTTTACACTTTACAGTTACACGTTAGTGCCAGTTTCAGCCGGAGAGAAGCTGCCCGCCATGCTTCAGGCCGACGGAGGGGCGACCTCGCTGTAGATCACGCACACGCAGCGCACAAGCACACGGGCTCTTGCACAGGCTGCCGGCTCGTGGAATGGGTGCAGAGCGGAAGCAGCTGCGCTCGGCAAAGAAGGCTCTGGCTTTCATGTTCTCGTCGGTTCCAGCTGATGTGAGCCAGAGGCGCCCGATGAAGAGCAAGGCAAGGCAGCAGCTGCAAAGTGTCGTCAATGTCAAGTGTTGCACAGAAGGGCTCCAGTGGCCTGTGCCAGCAAAAATCCAAGCCTGGCATATGGCCAGGATCCGGTGGCCTCTACGGCGCCGAACTGGTCTCGGAAAGGAAACGATTGAAGGATTTCGCGATAGGCGCTGAGTGGTTGAGGTGAACAAAGCCGTGGAAGATCCCGGAAAATGGTTAAAGGGTGTGGCCAGGCGAGTGGCGAGGGCAGCAGACGCTTCCGTTGCTTAATCCCGGAAGTGTGCAGGTGGCTGGAAACCTCCGAAGACACAGATCCGGTAACGCTCCAAGCTCCAGAGGAAGCTCTTCAGGCGTTTTTTCTCTGAGCCGGCTTAGCCACTCCCAGTTTCTGAGGTCCGGGTCTTCACGCTTTGCTGCGACGACTTCCGGCCAAGGCGATTGAAGGCTCCGGTGGTTCTCGCGTGGTATCCCCGGTGCCCCAGGCCCCGCCCTCTTGCGCAAAATTAGTTGGATGCTCAAGGTGGCTAACAGTGCAGCTGCTGGGTTTAATGTTCCAGGCTGGGCGCTTGAACGACTGGATTTTGCGATCTTGAATTGAATCTCACTCTTGTGTCATACATGTATTGGATGCAACTGCTGGTGCGGTGCTGCGAAATCAGGTGATTCTCTGGTTGGAGGTGGGGCGCAATCTCGAGGCCTTCGAAGTGCCTTGGCTGCATCGCCCGGCGTTTTCCGATTAATCGCAACTTGACCCACAGCATCCCATGGCACGCTTGCATCGCGAAGGATACCTTGGCCCAGAACTGTGCTCCTTCGCTTCAGCAGCATCGCTGCCCATTTAAATCCTAAGGGTTGCCCGTCCTAAGAAGGCGTCCGTGACATGGCAGGCATGGCATTTGCCTTGGACCAGCCTGGAATCTGAGCTATTCTGGGCCTGCTACTCGGTCGGTACTCGGATATCTGGCGGAAGCTTCCTCGTTTCGGAGGAGCGACTCATATCCCTGCCTGCTCCAGGACCTTGAGCTTTCCGCCAGGCGAGAGCCAGGTGCCACCACATCCCCGGAGAGTCTGTAAGTCAAGGTGACAGCTGCGAGTTTCATGTATTGTTGTCGATTGAGCGCATGCGAACTCTCCACTCGAACCGGAACTCAAGACACGATCGTTTTCCGGCGTAGCTCTGCCTTGATGCATCTCTCGCCCCGAAGCTTCGCGAACACGACGGTAGGGTCTTGTTTGAGATTGATCGCTTAAGCCGTGGATGCAAAGCGACATCAGGCGGGCAAATCAGACACGGATGGTCTCTGAACTTCATTCCAACCTCGGTGGAGATGAGCTATATTGCACGAACATGTTGGTGCTCATGTTGGTGCTGCGCCATGCTCCACGCAGCTGCCAGACAGGCCTGGACGGTGTTGCAAAGTGCAAGAGCCCTAGACTCTGGAACAAGGACGTCGTAGCCTGAACAATAAAAGGTTGCCCCGCCCCTTTCTGTTGCTGTTTTCGCTCACAGCTGAAAGAAGATTCAAAGCCGACGCTTGGAGATGCGGCCTCGGCCCAGGGGGCAAAGGCTGGGAAAGCTTACAGCTTGCCTTCCTCTGGACCCGTTTGACATGTTTTTCTACATGTCGTAGAGCATTCGAGCACGCAGGCCATGGAAGTTCAAGTTGAGGCAATGCCAGGATGGGAGGCAATTAACGATATCTTGATACCGCAGTGCACATTTGCAGTGAACAGGTGCCCAAGGGCTGTCTCGTCGGGGTGCGTCTTGGGGAAGCTCTGAAGCAGCGCCGGTTAGACGGCAGGCGCAAGTGCCCGCGCCGTGCGTTCAACGTCAGGTCTCTCGATTCGATGATGCATGTTACAGGTCTGCGAGCAGCTATGTCTTCCCCAAGCTGGATGCTAAAAGGAGATTCGAAGCACCATGTAAGTGCACATGACGAGGTTTTCGTCAGTTGCTAAAACCTCGTCTGACTTGTCGAGCACGAGTGACAAAAAAGTGCACATAACATCGGGCGGGCCGTGTGCCATTGAGACGCAGGAGAGCCAGGATCGACATCTATCGGCATGTCTTGAGCCCCGGGTTGTTAAGATACTTGAGCTTCATGCAGGCTTGGTTCTCAAGTGTGGATTAGCTGAGGTCGGATCTTGCTCAGTGGAGGTCGACCCGAGCGGCTTGAACACAAATGAGGTGAACATACCATGCCCGCGGCCCAGACATTTCACATTCTGTTCGGCATGCTTTTTGTGGAAGTGGGGGGCACGGCATGCAGCGAAAATGTGAAGGCTCTGATCCAGCTCTGCAGTCGGTTCAGTCGGTACGGTGCCAGCCCAGTTGATCGGTTTCCTCTGGCGGCGCCTGCGTGGCTGTTGGCAGGCTGAAAATCACTTCGCAAGCTGCGGGCTCTTCCTCGGAGGCCTTGCATGCGTGGGTGGAAATGGGTTCCGTGCTGCGGGTGCCGCCTGGCCAGGAGCAGAGGCAGAAGCAGCAAGAGCAAGAGAGCAAGGAGAGCAATGGCTGTGCTGCATGCGTGGAGCAGTCTCCCAGAGCTGAGAGAACAGTGGAGCAGAGTGCAGAGCAAAGGAGTCTGCCTTGAACTACTTGGCGGCCCATGGCATCGAGCAAACACTTGCGGAATCTGTTCGACAGATGCTGAAGCTCTGCTGCAGTGGCCTTTTGCGGTATGCCCGAAGTCTCAATTGTCAAGTCATGTCATGTCTGTCAATCCATGCTCCGTGGCGGGAGCGTGCATTGCCAAAGAATCTTCTCCTGCAGCTCAGCACCTGGCACAGGCCGGGGCAGCTATCCATGTCCTGTCTTTCTGCGTTGCAAAGGTTCTAGATTCCAAAGGCTCCCATGCTTGCCTGGGAGCGCCACTTTTGTCGTGCCTCCACAGAGTGACGGAAAGTGATGGATTGAAGAAAGTCGGGGGCACAGAAAGGCGCCATCATAATGTTCTGCGATCGGAAGAACTAGGGAGGAAACTCGAATTGCTCATGTCGCTGGCTCCTAATGCGCTTGCCACATCAAGCTACACCATCACCACCGGACCGCCGGAGATGGAATTTGCGTGACCTCTGCGGCCCGTGGGACTTGTCAGCCATGCCTGCAAGTGTACCAGCATATGATACGCGAAGATAACTCACGCACAAGTTCATACACAACATATGTCTAGATGGTCCGGCGCATTCCGGCGCGAACGAGCATACGTGCCTGCATCATATATGGTCACGCGCTCCGCGGCCCCGCCCCTCCCCCCCTCCATGGTCTATATGGTCCAGGATGCCTCCCTGTGGGGTAGTTATGGGGATTTTGGGGTCTTGGGGTTTTGGGTCTAGCTTAAGCTTGTGAGTTTTGGGTTTAGGGTTTTGAGTTAAAAGGTATAAGGCTTCGAGTCGACATGGGCTTAGGGAGGGTTTGGGGTGTAGGTTCGCTGGGGTTGATAGTTTATGTTCTGGTTTAGGCTTAGAGCGGGGGTTTAGGGTTGGCTGTAGGGTTTGAAGTTTAGGTTACGGTTAATCAAAGAGAGCGGCCTGCCATGGGGCCTGGGTTTTTTGAGTACTGTGTTTCTTGGTCTCATATAGAATTTTGCTATGCGCGCATGCATTTACGCATGCTACTGTTGACAAAGGTGTAACATTATGAAGCATGTATGTGCATGTATGTATATATATATATATATACGTGAATGTGCCGGCATGTTTATTCTTACAGATACACATGCAAGCAAGCATAAACTCAAAAGCCCGTACATGTGATTTTTGTATATATTTGCATGAACCGTGGAATGCTCTACCACCACAATCCACTAAGCCGCGTCCAAGCGAAATGAAAGAATCATTTAAGTAGTTGCCTCATGTATCATTCCAGCTTATGTTAACACTTTAACCTACCACGTTAGCACCCGGTAATCTAAGGTGCAGAGCCGCCTTGCCGTGTTCTGATTCCCTGATGTCCTGACTCGGTGGTGAAGGTCTGTGTGTTTGCGAGAGTACTACGCAGTTGAGTCTGTATTGTAGTATTTCAGTATGTCAGTACGACTTGCTTATGTGGCGTCTCAGCCCAATCCGCAACCCCAATGACTATCGCAAAACTGTATATATTTCTGCCAGTAGGGGAACACATATATTATACACATCTGGTTTTATGGCGCTGTAACTAACGATGCACACAGAAACCCGGGCATGCCTTCGCTTACTAATACAGGGATACATACACTCACAAGCCTATGCATGCACTGCTTCTGTGTTTGCACTACCATGGTACGCTCTACTGCCACAATACGAAGTGCACGGCAGATATGCCGGCGCTCGTAAGCGAAGTGAAAGGAAATATGAAACATGAGTAAGTATTTCATACATCGTTCCAGCTCATTCTACAACTTTAACACCCGGTACTCTCGGGTGCAGAGCCGACTTTCCGTGTTCTGATTCCCCTAGGTCTTGACTCGTTGAAGGCTGTGGCATGTGAGTACTCAGTTAATCTTTATTGCAATATCTCAGTACAGCCGCATTTCTCAATGACTTGCTATAATGGGCCCCACAACAACGCACAGCTAATGTGACCGTGGCAAGACTGTATTTCTGCAAATCGGCGAAAACATATACACTATACACACGTGCTTTGTCTATTGTGCGGTGCCATAACATATCCTGTCATAGATTGTATCCGGGTTTTACAATGTCTGTAAGTTGCCAGGTTAAGAGGTCGGTGACATCATCCATGCTGAGACCAGTATGTATATGAATGTACAGATGGATGGGTAGACAAATAGACAGATGGATAGATACATGGATAGGCAGATAGATAGATGGAAGATGGTCAGATAACTTATCTACACGCATGTCTGCAATATTTGTGCGTATAAAAAGGTAACCTTCATGTGTAAAACGGGCTTTCTAGAGCACCTGGCATCTATTCTATGACATGGTGCAGCAGTATATGACATAGTATACAAACCCGACACGTGTTCAAAAAATATGGTCGAGGCCCATCTGGATGCCTTCCATCCTCGCGATTCCCCTTGACATATCCCGATAGGTTACATGGTGCTTGGACCGTTGAATTGTTCGCACACACAGCGTTTCTATAAGATGCTCACTTCTTCTAAACAAGTCTGTGTTCATAAACAAGGAAGGGCGTTCATACGCACCCCCCCACAAATCATGAATTGCATACTCAACAGAAACCGGGAATACAAACAAATTCACGTGGTGTGGTATGCTAGATAAGCTTGGCATGTTCTTCCATCAAACATGCAACAGGTCAGGATATCAAATCAAATTTACGGTAATGTTTGTGCAATTGGTGCGCGTTCTCGTGTTCTCCGTCTTGGTTGGTGTCTGGCGCACGCGTGGGTGGGGTTAGAATAGCTACTCATACGGCCCACGAGTGCCTATAAACAACAGGATCTTGCTTATAAGCAGGGCTAATAAGCAGAAGGCCTGTTTGTAGGCAACCGGACTGCTTGTAAGCAGACAGCCTGCTTATAAGCAGCCGGATTGCTTATAAGCAGACAGCCTGCTTATAAGCAGCCGGACTGCTTATAAGCAGAAAGCCTGCGCAGAATCATAAGCAGCCGGACTGCTTATAAGCATAACATAAGATAGATTAGACAGTAATCTTGTTTACGTAGACCCTACACGCAGAAGAACAGCCACAGCGGAAGGTTGTCCGGGCACATCAGCCGTGGCGGAAACCAAAAAAACCAAAGAAACCAAAAAAACCAAAAAAACCAAAGATTTCCGCACTAGTCTGAAGGATTCCGACTAGTGCGGAAATCTTTGGTTTTTTTGTTTTTTTTGGTTTCTTTGGTTTTTTTGGTTTGTTTGTTTTTTTTGTTTTTTTTGTTTTTTTTGGTTTTGCTGAAGGTTTAGGGTGTGGGTGTAAGGCTTGTGCTAGTGTAACTACGGCTTGCAGGACTTCCAGGGGTCCAGAGGGCCTTCCGAAGCATGCAAAGCAACCCTGAACGACAAGTACCGAGCAAGTAGTGCAAAAAGTGCAAAACACTGGATGTGCAAAAGCCCAGGCCCCATGGCAGTCCCTTCTGTAATCAAAGCAGGGGCAGGCGCTACTGCGAGACGTTG